GATATTGAAATTTTCTGAAAATTTAGAAAAACGTAAATACAATGACCGAAGAATCTAAATTCCTTATATGGGAAAATAAGATGAAGCAGCAAAGAAGGAAACACTTTGAACATAGATTAGGTTTCCAGAAAAAAAGGAAGCAGCAATTAGTAACATTGCCGCGTCAAGATAACTATTATCTTTGGTGTTTGGTTCAGAAACAGGAAAGAAAAAAGCTCTATAATAGAAGAGAAACAAAAAAGAGCATCATTGATAGAATTATGTATAAAAGAGAACTCAGGGATTTTCATTACCGAAGTTTAAAATAATGAAAATGGTTTCAATTGTATTATAGAACAAGAAATTTTAAAATTTAACTTTGCATTTTTAGAAAAGGAAAAAGATTTAAAAAACGAAAAAGTTATTTGTTGAGATTTTATGATTTTGTGCAGAGTATTCTCTTATAATAAATAAAAATATTTAGTAGGTCTAGTATTTTTCATTTCATAAATTTTTGTAATTTTTCGTAATTCCTCGAGATGATGATAAATTTTAATATTAGAATTTCTCGTTAATATGTAATTAATTTCGCTTAACCTTTTGAGTTGGAATGAGATAAACGAAGAAAGCTTCATGAGAGTATAGTGCGGTCCCAAACTCATAATTTTACTTTGATAATTTTGAACTTGTTGCACTCTAGAATAATTAAAATTGTAACTGCGCATGCAAAGAGTGTAACACCAATAATAGAAGTTTAAAGCTGACTGTTAATTAATATGAAAATATAAAATGCTTCGTATACTCAAATACCATTGACGGAGAGAGTTGTCGAATGACTAACGGATCCCGCAAGATTTGACGCAGAACATGAATATTCTCCTACGTGCCTAGCTAAAATTCCATCGATGCTTAAAGTACTTAAGTGTTTGTTTATTCTGTTTATTGTAATTCTTGAATCCATTGACGCATCTATTGGATTTGAGTTAAAAGCCCAAGAGAGTTCCATAGGCATGTCGCCTTTTGAAACCGAACAAGCCACAGACACAGAGTCTCCTTCATTTGCAGTTTCAGTATTAAAAGCTATCGGTAATAACTGTGGCCCAACTACGAGAAGATGCAAAAGAATTTCATGAGAAGCTCAGAAAAAGATATCGTCAACTGATGAAACTTCAATTACTTATTGTTTAATACCTAAATATTTCTCAAAAATAAAAATTAAGACAATCATCAAATTCTAAAAATATGGGTGAAGGATGAATCATGATTTTAAGGATTGGAATATTGTTACTCTTGAAAATAACATAATTTACGGACTACAATATATGCGTAAAAGTTATCAAAATCTGCTTTTATCACAATAAATTACGTGCAAAAGAGAGATCTTTGATGATAAAGAAAAGTAATAGTATTAACGAAAAATTAAATTACAGGCTGATAATAATAATTTCACTAGGAAAATTCAGACAATTCATGGGCATCACGGACAGAAAACTGTCATTAGAAAAATGCAGTAGATGAAAACTGCAAACCATTGACAGTGAGTAATGTTGACTCGAAAGACTTTCCTGCTGCATTTTGAGCAGTACAAACGTATTCACCAGCGTGTCTTGCTTCAATTACAGGAATCATTAACATACTAATACGGTCTGCTACCTTCCTTGCAAGTACACCTGAAGCACCACCCATCTCTTGCCCAGGATAATTCCAATGTATCTTCAATGGTAAGTCCCCGGACGTTACGGCGCACTGTAGATTCGCAAATTCACCAGCATTCATAGGTACTTTCGTGAATGCGAATTTTTCTATTATGGGAAGCACTAAAGAAAGCAATATTCATTAACTGCATTCTCTCTTCATAAAAAGATTTCTAACAGCAATTTTCCAGTCTAAATGTAAAATCATTTTAATAATTAATGTTTTAAAAGCTTTTGACTCATTCTTGATGGATTCATATGTGACCTGGTTTAGGAAAAGGGGGTTTCAAATACAAAAGTCCTTTTTCGCTCTTTCACGTGGTGAAAACCAGAAAGTCTTACTTTGTTTAGAAGTTTACTAAAATTGAGAATAAGGAAGAGTAAAAATACGAAAAGAACTGATTTCTTTTAAAAATCTGGAAGAAAGAAAATACATCGATGTATAAGATAAAGAAACATTCTTATGTGCAAAACAATCATATTCTATTCTTAAAAGAACAACCCCTCGAGTAATAAGTTTTAAATAAATAAGTTGAATTTTTAAAAAGTATTCCGCCATATTAGAACAGCCATTTTTAATTTCTAACATCTTTCACCGGATTCATAATCAGCGATACTAACAACCCCCATGCAATGAGTTTCAAGCGAATCTGATAAATATTAATTTTTGTCGCTGTTCTCTCGTAAACTTGTTTTTGCAAGTAAGCCCCCTGTCCTAGACCAGGTCCAATATAACATTTTTGTTTTTTAAAACAAGTAATTATAAAAATTGATTCATTGATATTTTTTCGATATATAAATTTATACTTCAGACTTCAGTTATTTCTGACGGGCTGAAAATAACATTTTAAATTTAATCATCAATATATCACCGAAAAATTATTTTTTACACTCAGTATTTAGTAGCAGTTCAATTGCAAATCACGAAAAGCGAGAAAGTTAGGAAAATCTTGCACTTAGAAGACCCAACTGTGTAACAATCTCTATTATTCAATTAGTAATTTATTGACCTGAAGCAAATGTAAATAAATCATATAAAAGAACAATAAGAAATCTAAAAACTATAACTTTTTTTGTTTGCCAACAACACTGTTCAGTTTGATATAATTATTACTTTAATTCTTCCGGTTAATAGCTGCAATAGATGCAGACAATTTTTTCCCCCACAAATCATTATTCGAGCTAAAAACGATATTCTATTCAGATAAGACGAGAAACAATCTTTCAAAATTTAATTTTTATAAAATTCAAAAATATGCCTAAATAAAATTGAAGTATCAACGTGTTGTATATTATCATTTGAACTAATACATTTACAACAATGTATTGCTGATAAATGTTTTCAGAATGAGTACCGCATTTTGCATTATACATTTTTTTTAAATTACACTCACGAAAGCATCTTTTCGTTATAATTTTTATTCTTAAAACTAATTGCATTTAATTTTATTGGATTTAATAATTCGAGCGCATTCACCAAAAATCCAGGTTCAAGTCTTTTGATCAGTACCTACCGCCATACCAACTTTATATAATGAATTAGAAAAAGTTGATCACTCAAAAATGAACACCACAATGATTAAATCAACACTAATCAGCAACTAAAAGTTCCCTAACTCATTTTTATTAAGTGGAACAACAAGATACGACGATGATCAAGATATCAATTTTTAAAAATTGATTCAAATCAATAATATAGTTTTCAACATTAATTCATATCAATATCATTATTATGTAAATTGAAATTTCTTACTATTCTCGTTAAGAAACAAAGAAATTTTCGAAATTAACTCCTCTGAAAGAAAATATATTGTATATCTTTTCTAGTTAGTAAACTGCTGAAATTAAAATAATTCTGTAGATTCTTTAAAAATCTAAAGAAAATTCACCTATTTGTAATTATATAATTAAATCTGAAAATAAACTGCAATTACATAAATTTTTCTTATTTTTAAGTTTGAAATTCAGAAAAAATGATTATTTAATCATTCTGGTACTGTGAATTTTATAACTCAAGAATTTTGAAATTAAAAAAGCGGAGATTATAATTTGATTACCAGATTGATTTTTGAAATATATAAATATTGCTTCTGAATTTTGAACATTAAATAAGTAACAGTTATTCAAATTTACAATATTAATTTGAAAATAATGTTTCGACAGAGAGAAACTGAGAGTAGTTCACTTTTTTAGACTTTGCTCGTCATTTACTAAAATTTACTAAAAAATTGACTTTTTTCTTCAAACAGCTGCCAAATTCATAAAAATTAATATTTTGAAAATATCCTATGTTCTCTGAAGCAAAATCAGAAAAATTTCGAATTTTTGTTTTAGATTAAACCGTCTAACAAGAATCTTGCCTACCTATTTGTCCTGTAAAAAAACGCGATCAACTTTAGCACCCTCTGCAAGCAATCAATTTAAACTATAAAGGTTAACAAATAAAGTCCCGAAAACCAAATTTTATTCACTTTATTCCTGTATCTTATAAAAATTTATATAAATCCGATTCAAAAGAGACTTCAGGGATGTCATCTCCCCTTAACAGAAGATTTTTATTGGTTAAACGTGTTCCTCATTCTCAGTTTCTCTCCGGTTTGGAAATTCACAATTAAAATCTTACGAACTTTAAATAATTTTACAAAAGTTACTAACTTCATGTAATTATAATATAAAACATAAATTAATATTAAAATAAATTTATTGCCTATACTTAGAAGTTGTAGATTTAATTCAGTTAAAAATAAAATGTAATGACATGAAAAATTATTTATAAAGTAAAGAGTATAAGAAAAATTTTGATCGTTTCTCTGAGCGTAACTACAAAAGTTATGCATCCTTTGTGTATAAATAGTTTGTTTAGTAATGTAGATAATAATAGAAGTCGTTAATATACTTATAATTCTGAATTCCATACAAATAATTTCAAATCAATACTCGAAATTTGATTTTAAGAATGTCAATTATTATTAACTGTCAACAGGCATTGAGTAAAATCATAATATTTAAATAAAACAAAAAAGATTTTCTAAAAGTGTGAGTCTCTGTTTTTGATAACAAAATTAAACAAATTAAAATAAATTAATTTCAACAGTAAAAATATAAAAATATATAATTTAAAAACAATTTATTATAACATATAATTTTAAAGAATAAGTTTTAAAATATGTTTGATATTAAAAATTTGTTTAGCAAATCAATCCACTTTTTAGAAATCGATTTTGATTTAGCTTCAAATAGTAAATTCTGCTCCATGACTGATAAATGTTAATATGAATTAATAAATTTTATAGTATAGTTAAAAAATAGACATGTTACGAAACTTACCCATGACTTGTACTTCTAGCATTCCTCTTGCACTGTAGCCTTGAGCATTACGAGCGACGCACGTGTACGTTGCCTGATCACTTTGCCGTTCAACATTTTCAATAATTAATGTTCCGTTGGGGAATACTTTTTGCTTTCTGTTGATGGGAAGAACTCTCGTGTCCCGCTCCCAAACGATGCTCTCTATCGGATAACCAGCAACCGGACATGTCACACGTAGAGTTTCACCAGCGACAATAGCTTTCTTATCCATGTGTCGAATAAAAGGTAGCCCATACACATTCAAACGTGCAGAATGTTCCGCAGCACCGACCTAAAATAAAAAGGACTTAAATAGTGTCTTTTCCCTACCGTTTTCGCTATAGAATAATTTATTATTTCGTAATTTTACTTTAATTGACTAAAGCGACTTTTTTGCCAACTGTTGCTTGCATTTGTTCTATGTGTATTAAATAGTTCCCAGAAAAAGATATTCAGAATTTCAATTTTAAATCACTCAGTTAACCAACAAATCATAAATATCGTTTATATTTATAAAAATATATAAAAACATTTTCATACCTTAGATGCAGCAATGCATTTGTAAAGTCCACCATCATTAGTGTGAATGCTAGAAACATTTAAGTTAGATACGACATCTCCATTGACTGTAACGTATTGTCCAACTTGGAGTCTATCTGTATTAGATAAACGTTTTCCGTCTAATTCCCAAGTTATTTCGGGTGTTGGATTTCCACTAGCGACACATTTTAGGAAAACACTAGGTCCAGGTTGAAGTGTTTCTTCGGAGAAAGCTTGTCGGATTTGGGGTGGTTCAACTATAAATATAAATTAATAATTTAATGAAATTGAAAAAATACAATAAAAATTAAACTTTTTGAATAGGGAATTTACACAATTGAAAATTTTTGTTTAAGGGCATGTGGAACCAGTCAACTTCAATTAATACAGGTAATAGTATTTTTCAAATTTCAAGGTAAATTGTATAAACAGAAGTTTGGCGTGCCTATGGGTAACCTAATTTCTGCTGCAATTCCAGATATCTTAATATGTATCACATATCGAATTGGAAAACTTAAATGAAATTGACTACCAAATCATCTTTTATTATAGATATGTTAATAATTCGATATGTTGTATACTAATAACTAAAGTTCAGGATTTCTTTAACAGATTCAATTATAAATATGAACACCTAAAGTTCACACTTGAATTATCAACTACTAGGGAAATTAACTTTTTGGATATATCAATAGATTTATCCGAACATTATAGAAACAAATTGGTTTCGAAAGAAAACCTGGTCTTGAAATTATTTTAATTTTAATTCACATCATCACATTAACGTAAAGATTGGAATAGTTTATTTATCTGAGTCAAAACATCATTCAAATAACATTAATTTAGTATTTGATACTTTGCTAAAAAATGGATATCCATTGACTTTCCTTGAAAAGTATATCAACAAAAGGATATCAAAGTAACTGTGAACAATAATAACAATTCCATAAAAATTTTGGATAAAAATATTTTTCTAACAACCATTTCTTTACCTTACATAGAAACAACCTTACAATTAATTAAAAAAGCTTTTGATAAGCTTATCATTAAGATAGTTTTCAGATCACTTAATAAATTTAGCACAATTCTTTTTAAACTATCAAAAGACGAAACCCCGAAATTTGTAAAAACAAACGTTGTTTATAAAATAGATTGTAGAAATTGAAATGCTACCTACATTAGATAGATAACTGAAAAGTAGGGTTTATGAACAATTAAAGATGCTGACACTCAAGCCAACATTTTTTAGTGTAAAGTTCTCCTATTTCAGAAAATGTTTCCTTACAGCGATATTGCTAAAAATATGAAATTACACAAAGAGAAAATTGCCTATAGCGTAGTATACGGATTAAAATATTCTTTTCTGGAATAGTAACAAAAAGCAAGTATGTACTCGATAGTTAACTTCAGTCTTTTTGCAACGTACCACAGTAACGGACCTTCTTGAAGGATTTCAAATCGCTCTTGAAAATATTGATGATCAAAACTCAATGTGAATTGGGAATTTCTAAAATTATTCAATTTTAAGTTAAGAACTGATTATGATTCACCACAATTACTAGAATTGGGTTCTAGTGCACTTAACGTGATTTATGGTGCTTTTAAAACAGGAATCACAAAAGCAAATTGGGGTTTAGTACAATTTTCAAGAGCAGCCTTCAACTTATTTAAGTTAGTTCCAGCTTGTCGAGGATATTTTATTGAAATAACAGGATGCAGTGAATTTTTTTTGAAATTTTGTCAAGTTAGATGAGTTGGAAACGTAATAGTTGCTCGGAAATTGATAAATATTTTGCTACATTTAGAAAAATTGATGAAACCTGTGCAGACCATAAATAAACCACCGACATGTTATAGTTTCACGATTGTCGCTAATGCGATATGTGAAAAAAGTTTTCCGGCTAAGTTGGCCTTTTTTCAATCATTAGCTGAGGATCTTAGAACATTTTCTTACGGAATTTCAGTCATATGCTCCTTTAGCATCTTTTTTGATTGATGAATTGAATCTTTTACTGAGAAATTGCATGACATGATTTGTAGACGAAGTTATTTTAGAAAAATCTTCATTACATCGAATCGATCTAATGAAACAGGTATATATACAGGTAGCCAATAATTTCGATTTTGCAACAGGAGGTATTGGTGTTGTCGACCGGAAAACAGGTTATGTTCCCTGAATTACATTTGAAAAGCGCGCCACTAGAGTTGTTGAAAACGACTCTCTGGGTCACGTGATATTCACGAGGCACCGGCGAGGTGAAAACCATTCTAGTGCCGTACGCTCATGTGTAGAGACGAATTAATAGTCGACAATTGTATTTTTCTGTTATTTTAATTAATGAATTAATAGTCGATAATTGTATTATCTGTTATTTTAATTAATTGTAACTAGTACAAAGTGTGATTGAACCTAGCCAGGGAGAAGACGTTTGATTGATAGCAGTTGTAAAGTAAGTGGAAACAATACATGTATTATTGTCACGTTGTATTTTTATTCTTGGTTCGCCCAACTCACCATCCCTCTGATAATCTCATAATAAAAATAATAAAATTAATATTTTAAATTGATAAAAGTGTCGACCTTCTGCCGACTGGCGCCTGACGGTTTTTTAATTACTATTGAACCCTCACAGCCGGCGAACCCGGCCGCGTGAGGTGTAGAATCTAAAGTTTATTAATGTAAATTCTCTTGAACAAAAGATTCTGTTTCAATTTATGTATCATTACTCTTAATACTCTAGGAAAGTGCAAAGGTGTAAGCTCTAATAAAGTCCTTCTGTTTAAAGAAGATTGTAGAAAATGTCTTCAGCAATTAATAGAGAAATTTCCTTGAAATATCCTTTAATAGAAAGAATAACATGTTTTAATCTCACATTAATAGCTGTATCTTTTAAATCAGCTAAAAAAAGTTACGATTAGTATTGTACATTGTCTTAAAATCAAATTTCCTTAGTGGAAGTATTATTTAAGACTCTGATCAAGAGTGTAAAGCCTTATTAGCTGATCATTTTGTCGTGGAACAACTGAAGATATATAATCGGAAAGATACCAGTCTGGATGGTTTTCGGTGGAATTTATTGCTATTAAAGAGATTCGAATCGAATTCGGAAAATCTTCAGAATGTATTAAAACTTATCCTTACATTATCTTATGGAAATGCCGCTTTAGAAAGAGGGTTATATAAATGAAATGTTGATAGAAAATTTAATGGAAGAAATCCTCATCTCACATAGATTCATTTATGATTATTTGACGAAAGTACAGGATCTTAAATCTTTAATCTTAACAAAACATAAAAAATGACCGCGGAAGGTACCAAAGAAAAGGAACTCGAAAACAGATACTTCCACGGCGATTGCAGTTATGAGCAATTAAAAGAATTGCGCTAATCGCTTTTTTGTTATTTTCGCCCAGTCTGTCATATTAAGAGGACATTTTAACTAACATGAGGGGACAGAGGAAGAAAATCTTCTGATGGAGAACCGTATTTTTACAGAAGATGATGAAAATATTTTTCTTACGAAAGAAACAAGTACATTCTATACTGAGAAAGAAATTAAACACGAGGAAATTTTTCCTGAGTGCGACAGGTTCTAAACTGCTGTTACAATAAAATTATTGACGTTATACATATGTTCCACAAGTAACAAAGACAATCGTAGAACTTTGTTTATTGAAATGATATGCTTCTTTTCTAACTTAATCACCCTTAATAAAAAAAGGGAAAATGATAATGTGAGAAGAAGTTTACTTACATCTTCCTCCAAGCTTCAGTTCTGAAGTAGCCTGAGCACTCTCTTGATCATTCCTTATAAAGCATTGGTACATTCCTTTGTCTTCTTTCTTAACACTCTCGATTCGAAGAGTTTGATCTTCATGTCCAAGTGGTTTTCCATCTTTTAACCACGAAATAGTCTTCACTGGATTTCCTTTCACGTTGCACGTAAAAGTAGCAGGTCTTCCAAAGTCAACTGTTTGTACTGTAGGTTCAATTTCTGCAGAAAGTGGTGCAGTGACAGTCAAAACTGTTTCAACACTTTCTCCGCCAACTGAATTGTTTACAATACAAAGATATTTTCCTGAGTCTTCAACTCGTGCTTCTCGAATGATAAGCGTACCACTCACTTGTCTAACTCGCTCGTTTAATTGAACAGGCTGTCGACGAGATGTTCCATCAATGAATTTGTACCATCTGTAACAAAAATAAAAGAAAAATTAAAGTAAACTACAATACTTAAATTAATAAAAGTAAAAGAAAAATATCTATTTAAATAAATAGTACATACGTCCTTAATAATATAATAATAATAAAAATATTTTATTATTCTTGGGATCAACTTAAAAAGATATCACTTACAATTAAAATCTGTTATTGCTAAAACTTTGTTTCGTATCCGGTAATATGTAAGTATTTTACTCCTCAAATTTTGATCTTCCCTTTAAAAAAAGTATTGGGTGATGCGGGATTCCGTATTGGCATTGGTAGTGTCAAACTGCCAATACGGAACTAATTCCATGAGATCAACAAACAATTTTATAATAACAAATACGAACCCCGCTGATAGATGTCCACTACTGAACATCATCGATTGTATAGATACGCTAGGTTGTGGTTATCCACTTCCAAACATTATATGCATCTTGGATATGTTCGGTAGATCTTGTCGTGGTGGCGGGACTTTTCACTAAACGACAACCGAAACAGTTGTTAAAGGATGCAGGAAAGCAACAACGCTTTGTTAGTACCAAGAATTATCTCGAAGAAGGTAGAAAGACGAATCAGGCCACTTGCAGGTCTGTATTCAGTAGTATATCTGTACTTAATATCGTAAGCTGCAAAGAAGATGAATATAAATGCATTAAGCTGCATGATGAAAAAGCAGCGCAAACTGATAGAATTGCAGAAGAGGTCAGCAAAATACTGAAGTCCTGTGAAGTGCAGAATAATGTCAACATGACAATCGATAAAGCGCTTAAAAGTCTTACAGCGTCCGTACAGTTGCACTAAGCATGTAGAATCAAAGCAGAAAGACAAACATCTCTACCAAGGATTGGTCTGGGCAGAAGAAGCACGTAAGGATAGAAGAGTCAGAAACGACCGTTTCAACGCGTCCTTGAATGAGATGCGAAACGTCGTTTTGGAGTTTCAAAAGGAAAGAAGAAGCAGTTCCGAGCCAAATAATGACTCGAAGAAGAAGCCTTCTAAATTGTCTTGTGGTCAGGTCAGCAGGGCGTCGATTACAAAAGAACGCAGTAAACCACGAAGGTCACCTAGAGGATTAGCAATGATCTAACACGAATAGGAAGTTACCTATACTGAAATTTTAGGAAAAACACGAGTGGTTGGAGCGAGGTCCACAAAGAGGAGAGTCTTTCTGCCTGAAATAGACGGTTCCTCAGATAGGCGAAGTTTAACCGATGAGGTGAATAAGATCGTGGTATATTGAGATGACGGTTTGGTTTGGTTTCATTTGGTCCAAGTCACAAGCTTAGAAGAAGCTGGAAAGCTTAAAAAGATGGTGGCCTTGCTTTATGTTGTGACCAATCAGAAGATGTACGGTCGTTAGGTGAAATAGGTGCCTTGGATACGGCCACATAGGAAGAGTTTGTAAGGCGATAAACAGATTGGCTGATTGCTTTAGGTGTGGTGAAGCCGGTCATATGTCTACTACTATTCAATGAAGCCTAAGTTGCTTCTTGTTTAAAGAAATGTCAACCATGTCCCAAGCAGTGGTGAATGTTTTGTCTTTAGGTCAAACTTTGAGAAAGCCAAAAAGATTCGCTAGAACCAGAAATAAATAGTGCGGAAAAAGAACGGCATCGACAGGTCGCTAGAGTGACACATAGAGGTCAAAAGTGCTCTTTTACGTGTCAAAATCATATAACTTTTGATAGAAGTGATTAACTTCAATAAATCCAACGAAAAACAAAAGATTATTTCCTACAGAATACAGAGGCTGTTTTCGGCGTTCATCAGATGATAACACCGAGCTAACAAAACTCCAATGATCATTAATATTTATTGGTATTCTTCTCGATCTATCCAATCAGAATGAACTCGGTGTTAACACTGGGTGGACGCCGAAAACAGCAAAGAAAAATATTAGAAAACCAAAGAAAAATGTCTGACCTATTAAAAATTAAGATAAAGTAGAATTTGCCTGTGAAAAATATTATCTTTTGCTTGCACGGCGAAAAAAAGTCGGTAATATCTAAATAATTAATTAAATTTGAAGACTTTCTCATGCTGACTAAAACCTGAAGTTAACATTACACAATAAAAATGGCGGATTTAATATATCGGATATACTTGAAACTCGTTAACTTGAGGTTTCTGGGGTCGATGATTACATATCTGGTGCCAGTTTTTAAAAATTCATAATGGCGAATCCAATATATCTGAAGAAATATTAAAACTTAATTCGGATTTTCTTGAGAAGAAATGGTTTATGAGAGGTTTTTTTGGTCACTGTTTACGAATCTAACATCAATTTTTAAATCTCCAAAATGGTTCATCCAGTTGGATGAGCCATTTAATCCAGGTTTCTGAACATAAGCAAGTTTCCATTTCCGACTATAAACGAAAAAAATTACAAATATGAAATTTCATTTGGCGATAGGAAAACAATTAGCAATGATGTGAAATAAAAACCTAGATGAGAGTATCGGTTAGAAAGATAATTCGGTTTAACATTGCAACCACAAGTTATCGTTATTGGACCTGTACAGAATTGCGATATTTACGTCAATATAAATGGAAATAAATACAAAATGATGAGTCTCATGGCAGCAGTTGAATTTTGCTTCTTGTCCTTTTACGCATTGAATGCGCAGTATCCAGGAGACTGCAAACTGATTTGGCAATTTTTGCAAAAGTATATTTTTGAAGTTACCAGTGATGAAAATGACAAATTTTCCAGTTTTAACTCAGTATGGTCGAATCTACTATCTGTAGAGAGTAACAGAATATCAGATGAGCCTATTCAAGAAGTTGAAAGCAAGGACAGTGAAGGAACTGAAAGCGATGGAGACGAAAGTGGTAAAGAATAGTCTGCGTTAAAAATATTTGTAAGGACCTTTTTATTTTGAGTTTATTTGAAAAATACTTTAAATTTGAAAGTAGTTAATAGTATTTATTTTTGTAAAGGATCATAAATAATATATCGGCATTAAAATGTCTACAATCTGTTCATTGTAAATTCCGTTGACAATTATAAATGTCCAGAAAAAGATTGTGAACGCATGTTTTCAGATAGACGTTCAATGAATAATCATATACAGAAAACACATAAAAATAACATTTACTCTTCTATCGCAAATACGGAAAATATTGGAAATAACTGTTTAAATGCAATTGATTTGTCAGAAAACAATAATTTTTTCGAATCCAAGAATATTTCAATTGATGCTTCCGATTTAAATTTAAAATTGATAGAACTAGATGAGTCTCAACTAGAATTGAAAGTATTTGAAACTATATCACCATTTAATGCAGATCCATCTGTATCACGAGTTCAAATTCAACGATTTGTTTTCGCCTTTGAATTATTTTTAAATTGCGATTATTTAAATAAGCTAAAATTAAAAGATCTACAGTATGTGCCAAACGATGTGAAAGAAAATATTAATAAAAAATTCGAAACCCTTCAAAAAAGTTTTAATAACGTTAACACTGAACATAAAGGACTCCAGCAATTGTAAAATTTGGGTTGTTTAATTAAGCCAAAAAAAATATTTTTTAATACGGAAAGCGAATAGAATAGTGTTGTGAGCAATATTATACAAACAGAATTTTGGAAATCTAAAGTTAATTCTGAAAAAATAACATTTCCATTATTTCTTTACGAAGATGGCGTTAAAACTGGAAACCCACTAGGTTCACACGCAGGCGTTTATAACATAAACGGAATTTACATTACTTTTCCATGTATGCCAGTTGAATTTAAATCTAAATTAAATAAATTAAATAATAATAAATAAATAATAAATTAAATAATATATTCTTAGCTCAAATATATCACGCTGACGATGCTACAGACACAGAACCAGAAGTAATTTATGGCAGATCCAGTTAATCTGATAAAGTTCCCTAGTCACTCTGACTAATGTTCCTAGTCGAGTTAACTATATTTTCACTTGTGACGATGTGAATTGTCGTTTTTTATTTTGTCGATATTCTGAATCGTCATGTCATCTGTCGGAATTATCCCTGAACCGTGATCGTTAATTGGTATGGTAATTTAGAAAGTCGGAACTGCCGTGTGACCCACTATCAGTGGTGAATGTGTGTCGCGCGGCTAGTTAGTAGGAGAGAAAGTGCTAGAGGGCAGAGCCGCTGATGGTTAGAAAGAGACAGAGAGAGGAGAGCCAGTGGAACGAGAGAGAAGAAGAGTTGAAGAAGACGAGCACGTGTGGAGAAAAGCCAGAAACAGGTGTCATTAGTTTTCGCCGACATTTTGGCAGTCAGTTGGCCTACGAGTGATGTAGGAGAGTGATCTACGACGTGTGTAGAGAGTTGTTCCACGAGATGTGTAGAAAGGCAATAGAGGGTCGAATTGTCAGAGAAGTGTGTTGTCAGAAAACTTGTTGTCGAGAGAAGAAGTTATAGTTTTGTGAATAAAAGTAGAGATTGTGAAAGTGGATTAATTGTGTGTTGGATTATTTCTCTTCCCTCAATTAAGGAATCCTTTGGAAGGAGCGTGCCGGAATTAGGAAAGAGAGAAATCAACGAGCGTCTTTGGGTGAGTCAGTATCGAGCCAGTGCTGTGCCAGTCGTGTCTCGTCGTTGGCATTTCTGCTTGCCAACTTGTTCAGGCAGAATTTCCTCTGACGATTGAGAGCGTCTCAGAGGTGTTGTTGTTTGTCGGGTAGTTTATTAATTGAGCTTAAAAATTAATTGGCGCCTGACGGCGAAATTTATTAAATTAAATTTCATATTATTTTTATTGTTGAAAGCGTCAGATTTTGCTTGACGTTAAGCAGAAATTTATACTAAAATAAAATTAGTTAAAATCATACGTCACACACTACAACTGTGACCAGGATTGCGTGGTGGATTACTCTCGTAACCATGCAATCTAGTCAATTCCTGGCATATGGGTGCCAGAAATTTTTTTCAGTGTACGTATAGAATTCTAACAGCCGTTCTTGTTGGCGTGATGCCAAGGTAACTTGTTCTCTTTAAATATCGCA